TATATGGAAGCGAAACCTGGGTGCCGTACCGCCGACACATGAACGCATTAAACAAGTTGCAACAGAGACATCTTAGACAACTCTTAAGAATAAAATGGTTCCATCATGTCTCAAACGTATCGGTCCTTGAAAAAGCTAACTGCGAGAGTATTGAAGTCATGATTACAAAGTCCCGCTTAAAATGGGCTGGATACGTATGCATAATGCAAGAAAACCGCATACCAAAATCTCTGTTTTACGGTGAGCTTGTAGACGGTAAGAGGAGGCCGGGTGGACAACTCAAAAGGTTCAAGGATATTTTCCATGAAAACTTAAAGGGAATTAACAAGCAAAATGAGTGGGAAGAGGCAGCTCACAATAGAACGGCATGGAGAAGAATTGTAAAGTCAGTTAAGAGCGACAACCAAAAAATAAAGAGGCAACAAAGCAATTAGATTTTTGAATGTCTGGAGTGCGGTAGACAGATAACATCACGTATCGGGCTTTTCAGTCACAGAAAAGCTGGTGAATGAAAACGCCTTGCGGGACCATCTTCTGATGCGTGTCAAATACTCGTCAGCGAGTAATGGCGGTATGGTATGTATATGTAGTACATATTTATAATGTGCCAAATAAGCTGCGGATTAATAAAATTGATTTGTAAAGTAATACCAGTCCAAAAAACGGCTTTTAAGGAAAGTACTAACTTACTTTTGAAAAACTTCAGAGAGTTAAAAAATGGGCCCTCTAATGACGCTAACTATGTTTAGTAGTATATGTTGTTGTTTAGTAGCATATTTATGTGAATAGACTTTTTCAATCATAAACTACCCATTGTTCTCAGTTGATAGATGCATAAATATTCAGACGCGATACTGCGTATTTCTAAATCCAAAATGTGAGAGCAAATATACAAACAATATAAGCAAGTGAAGCAACAACAGTCGCAAAAATCGCATTAGTTGTAATATGTTTTGAAATTTAGTAATATAAATATTATTTAAATTTCTTTTGTCCATTTTGTGCGTCCCTTTTTAATCAGAGCACTGGTCGATCCGAATAATTTTATTTTCTGGATACATGAGCAAATAAGGCCCCCTCATATTTCCTTGAAAAAATTGTGGCCCTCTTATAGCAAAAGGTTACCGACTCCTGCCCTAAATCCATGGCTTGTATTTTAATGTATTAGATTATAAAGTATATAGTATAGCAGAAATATTAAGTCAATTAGTTACCTGTAGTTTGAAATAAGAATCACTTCTTTTTACTTTTAAAATGTCCTCAGCTGAGTGATCTATCCATGATCTTGAGCCATACAAGAGAGTTATTGGTATCTTTTGGTCAAGCTTGTCTATTCTTCTAACAATAGGGTTTTTTGCCCATCCAAAATTATACATCATAGTATGAAAAGCACTTTCGCCACTACAAAAAACATAAGCATGATAATAAAAAAATATAGGTTTCTTTCATTTTATTTTTAGTTTTATCAATTAAGTAATTAATAAATTGTATTCACCTTGGATACTGAGAGTTACACTGATAAATATACTGGGGTATCAATTCATCTGCTAAATATTCATTTAAGGCACTGGAATACTTCTTTGATATGTCTGGGCGTAATTTGTTTATAAACCACGGACCTTAGGGAAAAAAAATGTTATTGTCAAATACTGAATCCCCTCTACACTTAACATTATATCTGTCAATGTAGGGGTTCAGTCGAAACTTATCAAGTAAGGTTTTCAAGTAAAACTTTGTATGTAGTCGAAAATTTTATCCGTTTTACTTAAATCGAACTAAGACCGTCTAGAGAACTGTTAGAGAGCATTCAGTTCCTACTAATAAGAAAATGTTAACTTGATATTGCAGTAAATAGTGAAAATAAATAATAAAAAAACCTTTAGTTCATATTTTCAAAAATATTTTTTTTTTGTAGAAAAACAGACTACGCCACTGTTCTACATAAAAAGTTCTACAAGAAACAGTTTTCACCCAAATATATTATAAGAATATATTGCTAGAACCGCAGTTACACAATGAGTGGAAAGTGAAGCCAAAGAAAAGAAATTGGAATATCAATCTTGCATAAGTCTATCCTTTTCGTTCAACAGGATTTTCGTGCGCACGCGCCAAATAAAACGTTCTGATTCGTATACTTCATCGCTGAACGCTGTCACCTGCCCGCGCACTATTTTAAACTTGTAACGTTTTTAGTTCGTTACATGTCTTTATATATGATATATGATGTCTGGCGTATCATCACCGGATTCCGTATCGCTCAGGCCTGATAATTTACTTGAAACGCTTGGCGTAGTTCTAACGTTCTCAAGTCGACAATCCTGCGCTGCTCCGTGGGCATTTATTTTCAAGGTTTCGCTCTCCGCGAGGTAACGTCACTTTTGGTTTGGCCGGTGGGTCGTCATCATCAATCCAGCTTTTAGAAATGGTAATTTAAATCTTGCTGCTTAATTTGAATCGGCTGCTATTTCGAAGCTACAGGGTAGAGTTTTGGATTGGCCCCATTCAACTCGTATTTGTATTTTGCTGACACGTTGGTGTTATTTTTCTTTTGTCCTCCAGAATGTTAAATGGAAGAAAGGACAGTTTCTTTGTTTATTATTGAGCCCTCGGAAGTATTTCGAGGTAGGTGTATTGTGTTTATTACACCTTGGTAGGTTTTAAACACGAGTTTCGTATTTTTATGGTCCTATGGTTGGATGCCCTATATACGGGTAGTTTTCCTATGGACAGGTGTCCAATGGACGGATGTCCTATGTACGGGTAGTTTACCCTATGTACAGATTGCCTCAGTATGGATGTAGCGTGAACCTTATGCTGCTTCGTTCCTATTTGTAAGCCTAGTCGATAGTTACGGCTGTATTGGTTCACGGTGTCCTCATCCTGGTCCCTTTTGTTGTATTGGCCAACAGTATAGCCGAGAGACAGTACAGAGATACCAGCCCACCTCACGCTGTCACTGTTTGAAGCAGGATTGCCTCAAGAACAAGCAGCTAAGTTTAATTTTAAGTTCTGGTTTTACATTTACAACAACATTTTCTGTCTTAAGACAATAACGTACATCTTGAATAATTTACTAATAGTGGTTATTATATCTATATGAATTTAGTGTTTACGAACATGGTTAGATCTTTAGTTTCATTACGAACATATCTTGTAATGGTATTACTTTCTATATATTATTGCGTTATTTTAACAGATGAATAACCGAACATAGATTCTAGAATCTACGGCTTGCAACATCTCAGATTTAACATCGTATAAAATATAACAAATTAAATGAAGTAATACTACTTTTTTATATTCGTAATAGCTCAATCTATATTGTATTTTTCCATAGTCATTTCATTGAACATGTTTAATATTATTTCTAACATAACTTTACTCGACATATAGCCACTATAATTATTAAAATTGCACAATGCTATTTACCATCAGAATACATCATGAATAAATATAGTCATTAGTTTTAAGTAATATGTTTTCTTTCTCTGTTCATGCCTGGCGCCCAATATTTATATTTTTGATTTTTTATTGTTAATTAGTTTTTCTCCAGTGAAATACCTTATCCACGACTGCTCTGCCGATGAAAAGCTGCCGTTCGCAGTGGTAATGTTTAAAAAACGTTATAAACTCTAAATATTAATAACGTATAATATATTAAACGTTAGTTTTATATTTGGAGAACGTTTAGTTTTATAATAGTTATATTACTTTTTTATTGGTAATGGCATTATATCTACCTGTTATTTTAGATATTCATCATATCTATCCGTTTCTTGTTTTTGTTTAAATATGTCAGAAATTAAATTTATAAGGCGCGAATTTACTAAAAAACTACTTCTATTGGTTAGTATCAAATAAATAATAACTAATACTCTCACGCTTGCGTAGTTCAAAGCTGTTGAACGAAAATGACCGACTTATGTGGATTTTGTATAGCTCTATCTCAAAAATTTGGCTTCAATTTATAATCCTGACTAGGGATATAGTGTAATATATATAATACAATATAGAAGGAAAATATTAAACGGCTCAGCCCTCAACAACTGTACACTGATGTTACTGCCTTCAGACCTCATCAGTACGGTAAGGAATCTGGAAGCGATGAAAGCGATTCCAAAACACAAAAAACCAGGAAGCACACGATGCAAGGAGCAAACGGGAGTCTAAAGCCCCAATTTGCAGCCCAGAAACAGAGTCGCCCAGGATTGTGGGCTTCGTCCAGAACAGCCGCGGAGGTAGTCAACAGCAACCCGCCACAATATCCTTAGCTGTGGTACCAATATGAACAAGAAAGAAATAGTGAGGAAAATGTATAGAAAAGAAGGAAAAGATTAAACGGCTCAGCCCTCAACAACTCGCAACCGTATACACCAGTGTACACAAGTGCAGACACGCACACTCACACACTCACACAAACACACCTACACTGATGTTACTGCCTTCAGGCCTCATCAGTACGGTAAGGAATCAGGAAGCGATGAAACCGATCCTATATTGAGATTGGGATCGTCAGTGAGTATCGAATATCGGAAGTAAGTATTTATTATTTTATCAAGAAAAATAAAGAAGTAGTTCTTTTTGAGATATATTACAATAACTGGTAGTTATATGGGATTTTCTATAAAAGAACCAATTAAAGCAAATTCATTTTTTTCACTTCCAATGACAAGTTTCTGCCTAATAGGTTTTTCATATATATATATATATATATATATATATATATATATATATATATATATATATATATATATATATATATATATATATATATATATATATATATATATATATATATATATATATATATATATATATATATATACTATGCTATATAATATATATATATATATATATATATATATATAATAATATATATATATATAATATTATATGTATATATATATAATAGCATATAATATATATATATATATATATATATATATATATATATATAGTATATATATATATATATATATATATTATATATATATATATATATATATATATATATATATATATATATATATATATATATATATATATATAGTATATAATATATATATATATATATATATAGTATATATATATATATATATATATATATATATATAGTATATATATATATATATATATATATATATATATATATAGTATATATATATATATATATATATATATATATATATATATATATATAGTATATATATATATATATATAATAAATAATATTTTCTTGCCTTTAGCAGCTAAAGGCAAGAAAATATATTTATTAATATACACTAAAGCTGTAAGAATTTTGTTCATTTTATATATATATATATATATATATATATATATATATATATATATATATATATATATATATATATATATAGATTTATTAAACCGCTTATACGAGCCCAAAAACTACGTTGCTTCATTGGGCTCAGACCCGATTTCGACATTTCAGGCCCGGGGTCGGGTCTGAGTACGATTTCAGTGGTTATCGTCTAGAACGGTTTCCCCACTTCCCCTGACCAAATTTCAGCTGGGCCTGAAAAAATGGTTTTATGTTTTTTATATACGATTAGGGGTACACCGGTATTGTCACGGGCGGCGCCACCTTCGACATTAGTATAAGTGTATAAGCCGATTTACGTTGAATCGATGTATTCAGACCCAAGAACCGGCAACACGGTAAAGCAAACTATTAAGGGGAAACGAAGATATAGCCGTGTTATATTTGGTAGAAAACAAAATGCTCATACTCTAATTAGAATATTAAGAAATTCAGACGAAAAAAATGAAAATAAGTATTCTTTTAAAATTATTCCTACTAGTTTCATTTAAAAATATCAATAATTTACGGTCTAATCTTTTTTTTGATTTGCTGTCATCACCGGATTTCTAGAAGTAACTAAACTTTTATTGTCGAAACCGGTCGTTCGGCTAATAAATACTAGAAACAAAATTATTTCGATCGGCGGGTCAAAAATTGTACGAGTACCTACAAATTTACTTCGATGCTATGATTTCGTTGTAGAAGTACCTGATTTTTTTTTCATCTAAATCGACCAGCGATCGTCGCGTCGTGTCAAAGAATTGTAGGAGTAACTACAAAATTATTTCGATGCTGTGATTTCGCTGTAGAAGTACCTAAAATTTTTTCCTCTAAATCGATCGTCGTGTCAAAAAAATGTACGAGTACCTAGAAATTTATTTCGATACTATGACTTCGTTGTAGAAGTATTTAAAAATTATTTTCATTTAAATCGATCGTGTATACCGGGTGCGTCTCAAAAGTAGCTCACCCCTACAACTTTTTATTTTGTCAGATAAAAAACGAGTTTTGGTATGTTAGTATATAACATAAATTAGGATTGATTGACGTATTCAATTGTTTTTGGTCACTTCCTGTGTTCACCGGAAATGACTACAACTTTTGATTTTTAAATGGCACCCCCGGTATATTTTTACATTATTCGATAGAAAATCACACTGAATAGAATGGCATATCATAAATTTGTCAATTTTTCACATTTTCACATATGATTTATTTGTAACATGCGGTTCATAATGACAATTTGACTCGAGTACCAAATTGTGGTACCAAATTATTCGTAGAAAAATGCTCTTT